TTTCATGGGTATCGTAGCCCCATATTTCTCTTTCGAATGGTGAAAACCGCACCTCTCTATCTATCACCGTTCCGGAGCTATAAGGTCAACACTGACCGGCCATTCTATTTTGAAATGGATAGTAGTGCTCTTCTCGAATGAACGCTACAGCAAAGAAATTCGTTGATTTCTCGTCTTTTATGCAGAACTAATTGAACTAGAGTCATACATACTGCTCTTCTTTACTTTCACTACTGTGATGATGTTTCTTTGAATTATGGTGATAAGACGGAGAGCTTGAAGAAACTTTATGACGCTTGGTGCTGGATGTCAATAAATGGTGATGGTTGGTTTTTTCATCTGGTGTTGAATAATGTTTCTAGACATGAATAAATCACTTTTAAAATTTTAAATTCATGATCAAAATTTTCTACACATACTCTTTTATGTCGCTCTTCGCTAGATCCATGACAGACGTGCTCTCTCTCTGTTATGGATGCAGCCGATGAAACAGCTGTTATTGATCTATTAGAATGATCTTTCTCGAGCGACTGTAATCGTTTCTGATGTAATTCTTCTAATGTACTACGTATTCTTGCGTAGCCAACATGTTGTTTTCCATTTATATGTTCTTCAATCCGACATTGAACATCACAAACAATCAAAAAAGAGTCACATACATTACATACTTCCGTAGTCTTCATCTAAAGAACAACATGGTTGGAAAGAAAATAAAGATCCCATATATTTAAATTATATTCTTGATAAGAAATTGCTGTTACAAATAAAAGCAATTTAATTCAAATATTGTATGAGATGAAAGGAGACTTACTTCGCGTTCGGCTCTCAATTGTTCGCACTCTTCTAAAACTGCTTGTGCTTCATCAATTTTTCCATTGCAACCTAATTGCTCGGCCTATAAAAAAACGACAAGCACAATAAAAAATATTTTTTCCTTGAAGTCATTGAGCAGACCTTTTGAACAAGCTCGTTGATCCTATTAACTATCTGTTGAATACGACTTGCAGCATCAGTCACCTAAAAAGTCCCCAAACAAAAATTCATTATGCATCCCCGCTACGGTAACACATCAAAGAACTTTTACAACACAATATTTGCTCTTCAATCTTTGAAAATGGAAAAGAACAAGATGACATACTACTAATTTAAAGTGAAAGAAAAGAATAATAATCAAATCGTAATGTGTACGTATGAAAGATATATCAGGGATTTTGAAAAGTACCTCGTATGCTTTCACTGTTCATGTGTGGTAGAAGATGGTACAAACAAACATAATATGTATGACATAACAAAACCCATTGATTGACAAATTAATGAATACTATGCAATGCTAAAAAAAGGCGAAACTGGACGATTTTTTTGTATATGTGTACAACCCGTCCAAAGATATTTTTACAATAAAGAGATAAGAGCAGGATTGTTTTCGTAAAACTAATGAGGAAGGAAAGTAACAACATATCTCGTTTTACAATACCTTTCCATCACTTGTTTCGAGATTATTATTTACAGATTCACCTTGTGTTAAACGTAACCGATCGATTCCCCGTTTAATTTTTCTTTCAACATCTGCCAATAATGATTTTAAAAAACGTTCTTAACAGTTTAAATGATTTACATAAAAATAAACATTTTTTATTTTAAAATACTTATAAAAAACCGCTTCATACCCTTATCTGTTAAGGTTAATAGAACTTTAGATGATGATAACGAACTTACATTTTTTGTACGTCTTCTTCATGAACTTTACCACACGGACCTAAAATAATAAATATAAAAGAGCAGGTAAGAAACAGAAAAGCACTCCATCAATATTGTAGAAGTTTAGATAAACTTGATGTTTTTGCTAACTGAACTCTTACTAGTTGTTTGAAAGGTGTTTTAACAAAAATAGGAGTTGTTATTATCAGTGATACTTACCCAAATCAGCACGTGTGTTAACGAATAAATCATGTGGACAAAATTCGACCAAAAGATATTTGCATACCTAAAACATCAAATAAGAAGGTACATAAACATACAAAAGCAAGCTCTGCAGGTCTTAGTTTACCGTTGGATCATCGAAGCGGTACTGATGAACGGTTTCGCCTGCTGTCGCATTTCTAGCTTTTCCCATTAACTCATCCAGCAGCTTTTTTTGTTCCATTAGTGCCATTTAGACCACCATATAACTAGCAATAGCAATCTGAACAACGTATATATAGCTCAATAAAATTGAATTTCTTTAAAAATTACTGGGGAAAATCGCAGCAGTTGAAAGCTAAGTGCAAAAAAGACGTCCGTAGTTAATAGGACTGTGCATTGGTAAAAATTTATCCTCGTTCCAGCAAAAATTCCTCTCCTACCGGCAACCTCAATCGATTAATATTAGTCGTGAAAGAAAACACAGTCTTTCTGTACAAAAAGTTTCACAGAATTTTGTTAGCCCAAGCTTAGAAAATTCTCTAGAATGTTAATTCTGATAAGACCAATGATATGTATGAAATAACGCTGAAAATTTAATTCATTTTAGTTTCTGTGTGGCTTAGTACACGGGTAGAACAGCAGATTATTTCAAAAGTATACGAAACATAAGACGGAACTATTTTTTCTTTTTCTGCCTGTCTTATCCAGCGAGCAGCCTTCATGTACGAATGTTGCATACTAATGATTTTCATGTGATGAAAATGTTCCTAGGAACTCACAGCCACAAAGTTTATCATCCTCTCACTACTTTTTTGTACTCTACGAATCCTTCACAATAGCCTGAATGTTCTACTCGTAAGGAAATGTTTCTGTATTAATAGTTTCGCTTCATATCGAGCTAAAACAACAAAAACATTTTGTTGTATAAGCAAAGTGATAAGTGGAACTATTATATGTAAGGAAAGACAATGGCTTACGAAAGTATAATTCATTTACGTATTTTCAATTAAATATTTACAAGAAATTATGCATTTGTGACCTTGACAGTTCTGACAATATTCTTGCATAATTGTGTTCGTTTTGGCAAAATTCTGAGAAATTTTTTATATCGAAAGACTGTGTTTTCTTTCATGACTGATGTTAAATCTATTGAGGTTGTTGGTAGGAGGAGAATTTTTGCTGGGACGAGGATAAATTTTTACCAATGCACAGTTGTGAAATAGAATTGATAATATTCGACAGATCTCGTGTCAATAAACAAACACAAAATCGAATTCCACCTCCCGTTTTCATTTTTTCGGACAAGCTTGAATTAGCAAAGTATTTAGTGCTCTAAACTATAAAGAGTATCCTAAAAATTTTAGGATTGTATTCTATTTTAGGCTAAAATAGAATACAGTATGTTATTACGACCTAAACGTGCATAAATTGTCTTGGGCTCTCTTATTTTCAAATTGTGAGCGCGTGCCAATCAGGATAAGTCATCTTTTACATCCCTGCAAGGGTCCCATGAAATTGTGTTAATTCACATAGCATCAGGACTGAGAACTAAGACTAAACCAAATCGGAACATATTTGGGAAAGGGAAGCTTTTTTCTTGCAAAGGGGGCAAGAACAATTTGTCCTTGCAACGTCATTGAGAAAATGAAAGACACACGAATATAGCTTTTTTATTTGTTATTTCTATTCTTTGTTTTTCTTCTTCAGTTATTATCGCAAATCATGTAAATTTAATATAAAATATCTTTTATTACGCAAAAAACAATAGGTGACCAATTCGAACATTATTTTATACAAGAATTTTTCTAAAAGCGGATGTCCAGGATAACCAAATCTCGAAATGTAGTATTATCCCCTAATAGACGGACATTTGGTAAGCCTATGTAATATCTAAAACTCACCGCTTTTGGGAAATATTGTCAGAGTTTTAAAGTTTTTGTCATACTAGTGATTTCCTACCGCAATGTTGGTTCGAACTAGCCTCGATCAAAATAATAGAATGTGCAAATACTACTACAAATAACCCGAATAAATTATCCAGAATTACTTCTACAAGTTGATCACACTCCTAAGTGTGATCTACAGATTAGATCGATATATAACAGAATAGACCTTTTAGCTTCAAAGAAAGACTGTCTACGTCAATTCGCATTAATCATAGCTCCTTGGAACTACCATTTGGAGCTAAAAGGAAACAACACAGAACATGAAAGAAAAACTATTCGATATATAGATATGTATAATCGGATAAACTGTGTGAGAAATTGTCAACGTGAATAATAGATGACCCTAGTTATAGAAAGCTGTAACAGAACACGTTGACGAAGTAAGTAAGATTGAAGATAAGTAATTAAGAAAATTAATTATTGTTTTATATATAACAAGAATGCACAAAAGAAGAAAAATCTGAAACAGAAATAGCAGTAGAAGCAAAAATGAAAAAAAACATCAGAAATCTTCAACTGCTCGACTAGATATAGTTCATTAATTTATTCCACCAGATTTTCGAACAGTCTATCACGAAATCGTCGCAGCTACATAAATTCTGTGAGATGTATGTGTAAAAGTGAGACAGACATACTCGTCATACTTTTCTATTTTTTTCTGCACACATTCACATATTTTCAATATTCTATGTCTGTTACACTTTTACAGACACATCTCACAGAATTTATGTAGCTGCGACGATTTCGTGATAGACTGTTCGAAAATCTGGTGGAACAAATTAATGAACTATATTTAGTTGAGTAGTTGAAGTTGTTTTATAAATTTCCTGATGTTTTTTTTCATTTTTGCTTCTACTGCTATTTCTGTTTCAGACTTTTCTTCTTTTGTATATATTTTTTTATTGTTTGGAAGCTTTAGGGCTTCTGTAGGTGAACTGATTACGCGTTTGAGCGCGATTTTCATGTCAATTATCATAAATGCGTCGGGACAGACGTGTTTCAAAAATGAAAAAATGCAACTAGGTGTGTTTATAAGTCCGGCATCCATCCTAATCACCTTATATTAAGTAATCGATAGAAAACTCTCTATGTTAACTACTAAGCAGATGGGTAATTGTCCAGTTAATCATTCAAGTCTGCTTCAAGATCTGCTTTCGTAAACTGTGGAAACTCCAGGGTTTTCAAGGACATCAATAAAAGAAAAAATCTTTAAAAAACTTATAAAATATTTTTGACTGGAGAAAAGTGAGCATTATAATGTAAAAATTCTGTGGTAGAAATGATGATAATTTGGCACGCCTAAGTACGATTTTCCTTTGGCTATGGACGCGTTTCACAATAGAAAATTTTTCTTCAGACGCGTGTGAACGCGTTTTTCTTTGATCGAAATGAAAAGACGCATTTAGACACATTCTCATGATCATTTTGAACATGAAATTCATTCGGCTAGTTAAGAATCTAGAGAGTTTTTTAGTGGTGTTTGACCCTCTGAGGCGGCAAGCAATGCTCTGTTTCTACGCCATGTGAATAGGTAATTATTTACGCATACCAGCTATCTCTTCTGTAAAACCGCGCCGCTTTCAACTCCGACATCTAAGATCGGTAGTTGATAATATCTTTCAAAGTGTGTTTAGTCTTTCTGGTATGAACATTAATAAAAAGGTTTATTCAGTCCAATGAGTCATACACTTTCGGATTTATAATCACAGTCTATCAAGTGTCGGATCGTTTTATCATTCATTGTGCATGGGAACGATCAACCAATAAAATACTAAGTATAATATTATTAACGTACTTTCTTATGTATCTTAGTTAAAAAATAACAATTCACAATCAAATATCAGGTTAACTCACAAACATTAAGAGTTTTTATATTTTTCTTCATATATATAAATTGAATATTAAGTGCTAAAAGTTTTTTTTTCATTCTTCGATATTATTTTATTAAGGATCAATTT